TACTTTCAAGGGGGTGCAAATCATGAGAGACCAAACAGGTGTTGCACAGGTTCTGTATAGTTCCCTGAAAACTCAAGAGATGAGTCAGAAAGCACCATGACAGCATCTGCTCAGTGCCTAGCAACAGTTTGAAAAGCTAAGAAAATGCTTAGTCACATTCATACAACAGGACATGGAAGGAGGACACAGAATTTAAAATTTTCCTCTCCAGTAAAGCACTGAATTTGGTTAACTTTCTTAAAAGATACCTTTCAGAGGAAAACAATAATGATAAAAGCATACAAGCAGCATACAAAAGACTGGGATTTTTCAATTACTCTCATGCAAGACCCTTTCTACTTATCAATGCAGTCAGGACCATGTCCTCCTTTCCTGGGACCCTGCCTTTCCCAGAGCTCCATGGGCACGAATCCTTGTATCCAGCAAGGAAGAGAAGTGCAGTTCCCACTGAAAGCTCCCGTATTTGTCCTAGGAGGGACAGAGACTAAGTAAGCATGGTAAAAGGACAGTTTTCTCTGTAATAAAGTTAGATTTTCTCTATTGTGGGTGTGTTCAATAAAAAAACAGAATTCCCTGGAAGCATACAACTCTGCAAGTGAGCTTTCTCTGATGAAGACATTAGGATCTCCTAGCACCCTTTCATTACAATGAAGAACAGGTGGTAAGAGTGGGGTCACAGAGGCTCAGCATCACCCAAGCAACTTCAAAGAACTTCAGGTCTGCTACTCAGCACCATAGTCCATGAGGAGACTGCAAGCAAAATGACATAGGAGAAGCTCTGTGACAGTACAGGATTCCTACTGTCAAACTGCCTCCTTGTCCTATCTTTTATGATGGTAGGCACCACTTGCAAACTTCAAAGTTGATGGATTACATCCTAAATGGGGTCGGAAGAAGCACAGAACAATTAGTGATGTTAGTCTGGTGCTGCCCTCTGATTGATCCATTAATCTTAGAGCACAGGCGACACAATTAAAACAAAATTGAAAAACAAAGGAAAATCCCTCCTGTAAATAATTAAAGTCTGAAATCCACTAATATAAGATAGCAGTAACCTAAATAGTTAAGCAAAATTATAAAGAAGACTGGATAGTTACATCAATTGAAATAGCATTCATAGTTGTATTTGCCAGATTAGGGTCACGAGAACACTAATTCTCATCCCTAAAACCAGAAGCTGATTGCCAGCTGGGATTATGAAAGAATTCTCTCTCTTTCCTTTGTCTCATAGGCTACCAGAGTACATCTGGTGTGTGCTGATTATCTTCCTATAAAACATTATAAGAAAGAATAATTGAATTTATTATCACTGGAGAAGCCAAATTGGTTGGCTCAATGATCTTCCATTATGGTATGACAACTCTTCTGAATAGTCCAATACTTCAAACAATGGATAAAATAATCACAGATGCTTATATCTGCTCTTCTTTCCCCCCCTCTCACCCTCACCTAGAACAGTTCAAAAGGTAAAAACCATGTCTTCGTTTTCACGCATTTTTTACTCTGTCAGCTACAGACAGTCTGGATACATTTTTTTTGGCAGAAACATTGCAAAAATCTATTCTAGGTCAATGACTTCCACTGTCAGGATCATTCAAAGTGTTCAGAAGGCTCAAAGGAGAAAAATAAATCACTAAGTATTGGTATTATGCAAGCTCCCTGAAGAGGTATTGACTGCATTTATTGCAAAGAATTAAGCAGTAGCTTTAATGCCATTCTGTTCATGAATGTCCTTTCTTTGCAATTGATCTCACATAATAAACCCTGCTACAAAAACTAGCATGCACTTTGACTAGATTAAGGACAAAACGATTGCGTGTATGTAATGCTGTGGGTTATACACGTGAAGTAATGCCAGTGAAAGGCACACAAATCTCTGTGTGTACAGGACACCAGGCAGAAGTAAGGTACACACAGTTTATGTTATGATCGTAAAGGTAACTATGATTATTAAACCAGTTCTATAAAATCCATTAAACTGAGACTATTAAATATCAGACATGCAAGTAAGTATGTAGGTGATTTCTCCTGTGAAAGAAGGATTCATGAAGTTGCCCTGAGTTGAATTAGGTGGGATGTGCGACCATACATTGCCTACACACTTGTAGTTCATCTGGGACACCCGCTGCAGGAACAGCAGAAGGTATTTATATAACAACAACCTTTTCCAATGCTCCTGCCTCCCACAGTGACGTGGATCATTAATGGCAGCTGCCACAGGAACTGTGTACTCAAGGGTCAGTAGCACTGCTCCCTGCACTGCCAACAGGCAGAAGCTGATGGCTGCGGGAAAACCAGGGATTTTCGCCCCAGAAGATCCTCATATGTTGTCCCTCAGGTTCTGGAGCAATTCAGGAGCAGAGGTGAGCACTGTCTGACAAAGAGGGTGGAAATGAGATTTTTCCATTCCAGCTCTAACCTAAGTGTAAGGGGGAAGAAGGATCTGTCAGAAAACAATTGTTCCTTCTATAAAACAAGCAGCAGGCAGGGCTCTTTCGTCATATAGCAAAACAGTCAGTAAAATATAAATACATCATTTCCTTTCATATCAAAATTAATCAATATTAGTTCTCACTTACTTTAAAAGCAAATATTTAAACCTACCATGAAGCCAAAATATCAAGCATCCTGAAATCACTATCTCGAAAAACCAGATTTCTGGAACCATTTCTGATTTTGAGTAGCTAAAAGCAATACAGTTCATCAGTGCCAACAGAACATCAGACAACTCAACAGTCCAGGACCTGACCAGAAGCCAGGCAGGAGCCTGTGCCACACAATGCTCAGCCATCTCATCAAGTCTCGTTCCCAGCCTACCACAAACCAGGAAAAAAATCATGCATTTCTCAGCTGGCCTGCATAAAACAGAGGAGTAGTCTTTCTGAGTCTTTTTTCCATGAAGTTTTAAATGAAACAAAAATAGGGATGGTTTCACCAAATTCTACCCATTTCTTTCCTCTAACAAGACATAAACATCAGTAAGATGCTGCTAACCACACAGCATGCCAGTGTGCACATAAAGACATATATGGTTTATTTAATAATATTTTAATATTATTTCATATTATAATTCACATTATAATGTATTTTAAATTTTATTTTAAATTTAGTATTATTTAATAACAGTTTTTAATCAATTATGACACTAATGCACTGGATCATTTTTCCCATGAAAGCTCAGTATCTTAAGGCTACTTACAAGGAAAAATGTAGAAGCTCACATGTCTCTCCTTGATAAATGAGTCCTGTCAGAAGCGAATGAAACCAGTGCACAGGATACATAGTACACTTGACAATGTGAGCTCAACAACAGTGAAGAAATACTTTTCACATTGCACTATTTTGTGACAAAAGGGTCTATGCCGCAACCAGTCTGACTGTAATTTACTTCCCAAAAGAAGATTCTGGGAGCATTCTGTGTGAAAATTGTTTCCTCCTTTCTCTAAACCCATTATTTTTTCATGGAAGCAAGTATTCTATTCTGTAACTTACACAATAATAATTATACAAACTAAGCCTATTATAAATGTATATAATAAATATGTTTTATGTGAGTTCTTTCTTTTTTCTTTTTTTTTTTTTTTTTTTTTTTTTTTTTTTTTTTTTTTTAGCTAAAACATCAAACACAAAATATACATAGCATTTGCTTTGTGTACCAAAACACAGGAAGACATTATTCTCTGTCATAAGCATTTTATGTTCAAAGGTCTCAACTCTGCAGAAAACCTAATAAAGTATATACTGATTTTTATAGTTAGCAGGAACACTCACAGCATGCGTGAGTCTCTGCAGAAATAGTACTGATATAACTAAAACTGTAAATGTTACATAAAAATATATTGATCTGTAATTACACTACAATTTCTAACAACCTTTTTCCTAAATAACCTCTTTCAAATAAAACCTTGATCAGCCTACCCCAAGATTCTTTGCAGATTCCACATCCCAACATTATTCTTTAATGTCATGCAGGTACAGGTATGCAATTATAGTGGAAATGTGCATGCCAGCATATAGCACCACCATCTGAGGGGGACTGCATATATTACCACCAGTTGTTTAGTCATGGTTCAAAAGAAGTCAGCCCTGAACTCATTAATTAAAGAATTCAGCTGTATTCCCTAGAGAGAGTTTTGAGAGAGAACCAAAGGATGACTACAGAATGGCTGTTGCTTTGCAATATACCAAAGATATTTTTGGATTTATGTGGTAGAGTTAAATCTTTACTGAAATTAATAAGCTATTAAACAGAAAAGCTATGCGACTGCATATGTTTTTAAATGGCAAACCAGTTCATTTCTAGGGAATCACTCTTCTTACTAATTTACAAACATTTTACAGCCTTGTATTTACATTAGTTCAGAATTTTACTTGCAGTATATGTGAATTTTCTAGCCTCTTCGTTATTTTATGGACTTTTACAGGGATGGCTTTCAGTAAGCCATAGCATAGGAACAGAGAGAAACCCAGAAATGGTGAAGGGACTCAGGTAGCTCAGTGAATTAATACTGGGATGTTACTCTCCTCAGTTTGGTAGCCATTAACACTACTGCATCCAGTACTCAACTTTCCTACATGATGAGGTGGCATCTATGAGCACCAGAGTGCTCACTACCTAACCCTGGGGCAGTAACATGGCCAATCTCCCCAGCGGAAGAGCAGGGAGGAGATCAGTTGCAGCACAGTTTCCATCTGACCAACATCCATGATCTTCATGATTCCAATTAATACAAACAGTCTGAGGTCCATGGAGATCAAGACCAGTGAAGAGTATCCTTCTATGTGCAATTTCAGCTTGTTTCAGTGGTCACATTCTGAAAAACTAAGCCAAAACAAAAATCTGTAATACTGTAGATCATCCCTGTCCTGGGATGAAAGCAGAGAGGACACAACAAGACTGAAAAAATCTGAATTCACCTGGGCATACTGACACTCCTGTGAGAGAAGCCAGGTAATCTTAAGTTTTTAATCACAATTTTTTCTTCTTTCAAAATACTCACCTGACTTTCCCTTTGGTGTTTCTCAGAACAGTTGCAGCAAAATTTTGTGTAACACCAACCAGACTGATGCCATCAACTTCCACAATTTGGTCATTCACTTGGATCCTTTCAGGGGAAAAACAAAAATATATAAATAACTGTGTGAATTCCTGGTGAATTTTCAGCAAAACTTAGCATAGAGAGATGTTTTTAGTTTGATTTTGAACAAGGGCTTAAAACAACTTAGTCATAAAATGATTGAGGTAAATATGAAAAATGCATCATTCTTTGCATGCAGACATCTCATAAATCCAGCTTCAAAGCTACCATTACAATTAATAGCATCATTCAGCCAGTGACTTTCCTTGTATATAAATACAGCAACATAAACACTGGAATTTGTCATATGACTTAAATTAAACAAGATACTTGAACAGTTCTTACATCATTCTTTCCTAAGCCAATCTTGAAAAACAGCATAAGACATAGCTCTGGTATTTCACACTAATGGAAAAAAAATGTGATATTTAACTAGAACAACCTGCTCATCTGTAGAGAAAAGAGCTTGTGCATCAGACTTAATTGTGACATACTCTCTTAAAATATTTCCTCTAACTTACTCCAAAAAGATGAATTCCCAGTGTAAGTGTGATCTTGCACACAATAATAAGACCTTGGACTATTTTAATGAGGACTCTCTTTGAAACCAAACACCTATTTGCAGTTGACACACTGTTTGATGCAGGAAAAGTTAGGTGGAATAAAAAACATGCTTCTTTTATCTAAAGCAATCACTGCTACGAAATCCCAAGACAAGCACTGAACTCATCTGGATTACAAACGCTTGGAAGGACGACTGCTATGCTAAAATGTCCTCTAGAAATGCACCAACTCCTATAGTTTCAAAAATTAAAAAAAACCCCAACATTCAGAACTAGTCAAAGGGAGAAATTTTCAAGTACTAACATGGATGCTACCGATTCAAACAATACAGTTCACAAAGGAACCAAGAAACAGCTGTGAAAAAATCCCATTTATATGATATAAAAATACCTAAATTATTAATATCTTAGATATCTTAGTGATAAGACTTCTTTGCAAAGAACAACAGAGGCTTCAAAAGAGGGCTGCAGCATTCTGACTTGGAGCACTAATTTCTCTGTCAAGTCTGAAGCAATGCTTTGCAGTTCCACATGTGTTCAAGAAGTATTTTTAGTTCTTGGGACTCCACTGATGAGCAAGGTCTATTCTTTGGCAACCTCACACCACTGAATGTCACTGTGTTATGGACAGGATCTCCCTTCTGTATAGAAGAAACCTTGAAAAAATTAGCTTCGCAATAGCCTATAAACTCCTATTTTGAAAATCCTATCAGGCATTTTAATCTCAGAATTTTATTTCAATTTTCACTGAAGCATGTAATAAATACACCAACCACATTAATATTTATTGTATTTCAATATTGTAAAAATTATTTATTATTTTTTTACTTTAGCAAACATGAGGTACAGTCAGATGGTCATGGGAGTTCCCAGAAAAGAAATTTATGAAATTGGTACCCACTGAGTGGGAAGCTGTCACCCTCTTGGCTGAAAACTAAATGGCGGAAAACCAAATTTTTTTTGATGGGAGTATAGCTACAAAACTTCACTATGCAGTGGACTAGCAGTGTTCATACAGATACACAGTTATAGCATTTCAGGCGATGAAACGTCACGTTAGAGAAAGTGGCTCAAATTTGATCTGCTGCAATTCAGTCTGATTCCATTTGTCCTTCAGGCATGTTTCGTATCTCCTTTCTTATTTCTACAGCTCCTAAATTAATTTTCGACTTATTTTCCAGGCCACTGTTCTCCAAACTCCTCTCTTTCTATACATACATTTATTTTAATTATATATAAACATACATATCAAACAACATACAATTAACATAATTGTTATTCAAATTATGTAACTACATGTAATTAAAAAAGAAGCTCCTGCCTGTTGTTGTGTACATTCTATACTGCCCAGTCTAAAATACTCTCATAGTCCTATTCTCCTGGCTGCTTTCCTCTTCCTCAGGCATCCCCTCTCCAGCCCCACTCCCACTGCAGCTCTGTACCTGTAGCCTAGTCCTACCACCCCAGACAAGTCACCTTAGTCACCATCGAGACCAAAATATCCACAAAAACATGTTCTCTGGGCAGACTTCCCTTCAGAGCCCTCTCCAACAAGAGATCTACACTTTTTATCTCTCTCAAATCTAATTTCAAACATTAATGAAAAATTAGGCTCAGATTGGCAAACCCCAAATTATAGATGTTTAACTGCTTTTACCATTAATGAAACTGGTAATTCTTCTGACAATTATTTCCTAATGCTCATGACTGAAATCTTTGCCTATGTGAAGCAGCACTTCAATGAAGTAGCAACTACAGAAATGAACCAACTAAAGTTGAACAAATTACTTGCATAATTACTGCTCTGTATGATGAACTGAAAAATTTAACCTGTGAAGAGACATTTATTTTTCATGTTAAGAACTGTGTGATGTTTCAAAACTGTCGTTCCCAATGTTATCAAAATACTTTAAAATGTGAATGACCAATCATGACTATAAATTGAAAGAAAAAGCTATGAATTTATAGAGGAAAAGATTTTATTTCATACTCAGTCTAATCACTGATTTCCTATTTTACACACTATTAATAAACTCTCATTACTTATCAACATGCTTGCCTTTAGATTCATCTTGAAGCACCCTCCTTGGTTAAATACTGCCACACAATGCCTTTTGATATGACAAGTAAACACTACCTGTTTGTTTACATCAACATGAATCAAGCAGGCAGTGCTTAATCACTGAGAACCCCTTTGTGTGTGAGATTTTGGGTTTCCATGGGGGGCAAGTACTTTATATCACGATTTGATGGGTCTTTCAATAAAAGATGGGAGTTGAGTTATCCAACAGATACTCTAACATTTTAAACTGTAGTTTTAGAAGAGCTTGCTTGAAGATAGTTAAGCAGTTATTCAGAATATCTGATTCAACTGCTGAAATATAGTTTTATTTTCTGTTAGGAAGCACTGTTTTGCTATCAATGTTAATGATTAACTAGGCTTTTTACAAAGATGAAGTTAACAGGACCTTTTACAGTTGATGCACTTTATTACAGAATCTGGCTGCTCCTGACTGGGAGGATTACATTATCCCTTTCCCAAGTGAATGATCAGTCAGGCTCTCAAAGAGAGAATCAGAGGGCTATTTCTCAGCTGACTGAACATTCAGCCAGTGGAAGACTAGCACAAATATAAGAATGGGCAAAGAAAGATACTGTTTTTCTCAGCTGACAAGCTCCTTTCAGATGCCATATAGGGAAATGAAAGCAGAGACTTGTAATTGAACATTAACTTCTTGTAGCCCACTCAAACATGTGAATAACAAGAACAGAAAATACAGATCATCATAGAGCAGTAGTGAGGAACTCTGATTTTCAATCAGAGAATTTAATGCAGACTGCCAGTAGTGAGCTTAACTGCCAGTAGTGAGCTCAAGCATACCTTTCAGAAAAAAGTTCACTTAAATTTAAAGGAATGGATGAAGTAATGATCTCTTGAGGTGTCAGTTTCCTCATTTCCCTTCATAATTTTTAAGCCTATGATAAATCAGTACTTCACTTTCAATCTGGTATTTTACTGCCAAGACCTGTAAAGCTACCTGCAAGTCCAATCTGGAAGACAGTATACTTCAGTAGTTTCAGAGCAATGTTATCAAACTCAGCAAACCCCTGATATATAAGCCCTCTGAATTAATTTGTGTCGGGCTTCCACGGCAGAACAACCTTTTGTCTGGCTGAAAAGTTATACGTGTTCATCAGTAAGAAACACGTTACGACAACACAGTTTTTAGAAGACAGCATCAACTTTAGAGTTTATTCTTACTCTGCTTAGAGAACGCATATAAGTAGACTTAATTGCTAATGTTATTAGGTAATATTTTATTTGCATGCAAATTTACAAAGGGTACGCACTGGGCAAAACAGCAGATTATATGGGCCAGAAGATGTTTAGAAATACTTATTATTAAGTGATTATGTAGTAGTGTTTTCTAACTTTTAAGAGAAACATCGGTCTGATTGTGGCAGGTATTGTATAATACACAGATAACTCTGTCCCATATGATAGGAAATACTGTATGTTCAAAAGGAATTCTTTGAACTGCACATACCAAGTAAGCAATTTTAGAAGCAACCAGGCTTTATGTGAGCACTGTATAAGACTACAAACACTAATTCATTCCTTTAGTGGGCAAGATTTATGTTATAGTTTCCTATTCCAATTGATTAATGTAGTTTTAGTGCTGTAGGGTGAAAACTGAACTTTGAAGCAGAATAAGAAGTAGTCACTAACACACATCTTTGGCAAATCTGTTCTCTTTAAACTGGTATCTTCTCATAACTACATCAGGCATTTGAACCCTACCAATAAAGTCTCTGAATTTTACAGCTTTGAGTTATCATGACATATATTAAGCAAACAACTCTTTCCTATGAAAATCATAATTCATAATAACTACTGCTGGGAAAATTTCCAAATACTGAGTCTAGTTTACCTGCTATCTCTTTCTGCTGCCCCACCTTCTGTTACTGTTTTGACAAATATTCCCAGTTTTTCAAGGCCTGCATCTGCTCCAACTCCCATTCCAATAATGCTTATGCCAAGTCCATCTTCATCTGTGAAAAAGGCAAGCATGGTTTTCCACGTCAGTAACATTAATATCATTTTGTTTCCTTTAAAAAACTTTATTATTCTACCATTTTAATTATACACAGAAAATACTACCTCCACTCTTATATCACCTTCACCCTTATGAGAAGCTCAAAATAACAATCAAGATTTTTGCTCTTCTAGTGGAGAACACAATCATCACACCAAACACTGTGTAAAGTCCTGCGTTAATGGACTGACACAAAACAACTTCCTTAGAAAAATAAAGAAGTGCATGTCTCTGAACTGAACAATTCTTAAAATGCAAAAAGCCAAGGTGACTATAGCAGATTAATGAAAGTTCAAGATAGGCTCTGTAGGCATGTGTGGACTACCTCAGATTTGTAGATCAGTGTCGCAGAAACTGGAAATGGTTCACAGACTCCATACCTTTTTCTAGTTCAACTGGGAAGAGCTCCAGCTTTTCCACACGCTTCTCGAGTTCATATTCTGCTGACGCAGCCACTGGGTCAACTTCATCATTTCTCCTGTCATAATCTTCATTGGAATATGTATTGAAAACCTGTGGAAACAAATCAAAAATCACTCAGCTGTCTACTCCAGAAAGATTGCCAACTCCACGAGAATAGCTACTTAATTTGGTTCTCTGATGTTGCAGAGTTTGAAAAGGCTTTTAGAAGACAAATTTCTCCTATTCACATTTCAAGTTAAATTTGTGCTTTTTCATTCAAAACACAAGTGTGGCTGCAAAAGTCATTTGAGTATAAATGACTTGTATTGGTTGCAGTTATATATGCAAAAGGTGATCCTAAGGTTACTAAGTTGGCCTATATATTTCAATATTTAAAACACATCATTCAATTTACTAAGAATGAACTTAGTAAAGACTCACAGACATGAAAAAGCAAAATACATTGAAATGATGACCTGTATATAATCTCTGTTTCAGTCCCTATTCCTAATGAAGTTCGTTTGCTTTCATCTAACCTAAACTAGACCTGAAGATTACTGACCTACATTTACGCCACCATTAGGGATTATGCTCCATATTATGAATTAATATTAGGAGAGCATTATACACAGCCATGGGTATTTTTTAACATAACCAGGTTTACAGATTTATTTCAGCACTAAAGCAGTAATTTAACATTGACTGCATTAACCTGGTTATATTATTTACACTACTTTCTATCATACTTTCTACATGACCATGGCTATCCTGTCCGGGATTTTTCTGACATTCAATAACTTCAAACAGCCAGGGAAAGCACATTTTGACACTTCAGAGGTCAGTTTGTGTGGATGTTTGAACTCAGCCGGCAGCCAGACACCCCGTGGCCGACCATTCACCTCCCCCTCCCTCCTCTGGTGAAATAGGGGAGGGACAAAAAGAGGAGAATTAGTAGGTTGAATAAAAAGAAATAATTTACTAAATATAACAAGAGAACAACAGAAACAATAGTGAGTCCAAAAAGAAACAGGTAAACTGCAGCAGTGGCCTACTGAGTGCAGCGACCACCCCCCGAGCAACAACGCGACCCGACAAGCAAACCAGGAGAGCCCAGGCCCGAGAGAGAGCCCCCGAGAGAGAGAGAGAGAAAGCCCACCTAAACCCCTGGGCATGAGATCGCATGGTATGAAATATTCCAATGAAAGTTAATTCCATCCTGGTCAAAACCAGGACAGTTTGCCAGCTTAATTCACCTAACTGTCCGTATTTGGCAACAATGAAAGAATATGCGTTGTTAGTGGTAATAATTTTACCGAACTTCAGCCCCATGAATGTTCATTACTTAAAAAAAACCCAATTTCCCATATCTCCTCTTCATCTTTTACAGGCACCCTACAGAAGATACAATTCTGTAGCCATGGTTTTCTACATCACTGTTTCTCTTACAACAGAAAACACTTCACCATGCTATGCTGCTACATGCACATTCAGGTCTCAGGAAGCCAGCTTGCTGCCCTGTGCAATGACAGGAGCTGGGCTCATTGCCACCTGGGGTTTCACCTGCCCAAAAAGCTGTTAGTGCAGATTAATTTCTTTTAAATAGTAAATATATTAAAACTCCAATACAAAAATACTAGTCAATGCTATTGTAAGTATGATAATTGTGCTATGGCTACCACAAAGCTACTGCAAAAAACCTCCCAGCTTTATATAAAAGTGGTGGTTGAAATAGAAAAGACATTAGTCACTCCATGAAAATTTTAACTCCTGTATTTTACATCAATGTGAAACAATTAATAAATTGACCCTTCAAGAAGACTGAGATGATACAAATTTTACCAGAATCCACAAACTTATATCACATTGATTTTTAGTGATACTGATGCAAGAAAAAGCCTGTTTTAACTAAATCATGTTCCTAAGAAGCCTTCACAAATATATCCAAAAGCTAAGTAAAATAAGTCACATACTAAAAACTCTCCAATGCTGCTGAACATTTTATGCTGCTTTAGTATGTATAAGATCGGATGGAAGATACTGATGCAAAAATAAGCATAGGAAAGTGTAACAATTTACTTGGTCTGAAATAACCTGAAAAATCTATGTGCAAATTCTGGCCACGCAACACAGAAATAGAGAAACCATGCAAACAGCCAACTCCTTCAAAATATAAGTGATCACTTTCAGGTCCTTCCCTGAGCTTCTGTTTGTCAGGCAATAACTTCATCTGCATTGGGTATTTTGTAAAGGCCTTGAAAAATGTATTAATTTTTGCTCCTGTTAACCCCATTGGGTGTTTGAACTCCCACTTAAAATGGAAAACAAAACAGAGTGAGTCCGCACTTGCTTAACAGCCTGTCAGAGCAGTTCTGAAAAGTCTTTTGTTACTCCATGTCTTTACAGACCTCTTTTACACAAGATAAAGCTTTTTTCATGTTATGTACCCCTGTCTGCTGCTTCTCAAAACACTTGAAGACAGGGAGAACAATGAACATGTTTTTCTATGTAGGCTGTATCAAGCTAGAAAACAACCTCCAGATCTAATGGTGCTAGCTTGTATGTAGCGAAAAACAAGCAGGTATTTGACAGAAGGCCATGCTATTTATCTTTTAATTGAGATGTACAACTCACAGCAACCATCTCTACCCCGACACAAGAAGAGACCAAACCAGTCAGAAGAGCCCACCCAACAGCAACAAAAGGACCTGCTGTAGGCTGATGGATAACTGCCCCTGGCAGCTTCCCTTCTCTGTGATTTGCTGTCAAAGGTGACATGTCCACTAAGGGTTCCATATCCAAATCCAACCTCTTTTCCTTTTTGTTCAACAACTGGCATTAGTATATTCTGGCAGCAGTTTCAGATTTGTTGCAAAGTGACTGGATATGCTTCAGGATAATTTTCTTTCAAAGCATCAAATCATATATTGATTTCTTGTTTGGGATGGTCTTTCCTGAACCACATTAGACACAAGAGAAGGCTTTTAGGATCCTACTAATTGTTTTGGAATATTTAGATTTGCACATGAAAAGGGAACTAAACATACTTCTGGTGGTGAATACAGTTGTCATTGTATCTCCAAATATATCATGCCACTCTTACCTAGTACCTTACCTAAGCATTCAGTCTGAGACTGTAGGATCACTGATAGTATCAAGGTAAATATTTCCCACCCGTCATTAACTCATCATCTTTTGCACATTGGTTATGATCTTGCCCACTGCCTTCAACATGCATTTTGACTAGAGGAAGAAGGATGATATTCTTGTATGTCATTTATCTCATTTTGCACAATCACATTTAATGATTGACTGATTCTATTACATGAATCTCTGGGTGTTAAGATGTAGAAAAGAAAATTTGTGCTTGGAAATTTTCTGTCTTTGTGAAACAGTCTACCCACCATAGTAACTAACTGCTTGCTCAGTACAGTCATGAAAACTGTCACTCAAGATTTTACTTTGCTAAAAATAAGCTAAGCAGTTATAACATTTTCCTCAAAGTGTGCTTAACTTGATTTAAGTAGACCTACTTCACCACGTCTGTTGCCGCTGTGTTTCCTAGAGTGTGTGGGGGATTTCAGACTCATGGGAATTCTCCCATTCCCCGTGATTTAACAGATTTGGTTTGCCATCACACTGGCCAAGTACTCACTACAATAAAGTCTACTGAGCCATTACTTAAAGAAAGCTCTTCTTCAGGAAAATCCAATACATCTTAATCTCTGGTTGTATCTCTCAAAGTATTAAGAAAAAAAAAAAAGTTTCCATGGAATTCACCTGTGATGTTTACTAGGATTTACAACAGCACTTGTAATCCAGCATCAGCAGAAATAAAAAGCCACCAACAGTGGTAACAGCCCAGTGAATACCAATGCTGAGTGCGTATGCCAAAACAAACCCCAATGAACTGATGGGCTTACTCCAACACTGCTGTTAACAGAATGTATTTCTGTCTTCTCTAAAGTGAAAGAAAAAGGATCATCAGTGATTCATCCAGCACCAAAATAATGACAAACTGTATGATCAAAGAAGCAGGTATTATTGTTAGGCACCCTGGGTGGCACCCCCAGAGAAATCATACACACACATACATGACTACTTGCTTCTCTTTCAGAGAGTAGTGACAGAGCACAATCTAGAAAAGACATATCACTAACTATAAAAACATGTTGCAGACTCTAATTCAGAAAAAAACCCAGCATTTTGGTTCTAATACTTTATTTTATGAATAAGACCAGAACGATGGAAAATTATTCTTCTTGGAAGAAGGAAAAGTTTTCCAAGTTTGGGGCATTTTCTCGTAGCTCTCAGCTACAAAGAGTCTTTACATAATTTTGCTGGCGGTAATCAGCAGGTAGTGACAACTCTTTTTTTTTTTTTAAGGAAGTCAGAATGGAGATGAACTGCGAAGAATCTTATGGGCTATCCTCCCCATGGGCTAGCCAGCTTGGTGCTACATTAACCGTGTTGGCACCTTGTTGCAGTAGCTGTTTTACCACACTTTAAGTTACTCTAGTCTAACACATGTATAAATAGTCTCTCTTATGCACGATTCTTGACTATACCAGGGGCCACAGCCACCATATGCTGGTGATCACTGTGCAATACCAATTATGAAACCATGCTTTCTACCCACTATTGCTATGCTGTCATAATGCCTGCTCCTCATACCTCTGTTCAGAAGTCAAAACCAGCGCCTAAGATTCAACCTAGCCATCTGTGTGAGATGGATCACCATCATCATCACAGGAAAGCAGTGCTGCAAAAAATGGCACAAACACTTACAGTGAACATTTGCCAGCAAGTCATGCCTCTGGTACCCACTCTGGGGAGGGGAGTAGGCATCACAGCCACTACCTCGCCATAATGATGGGGTAGCTGCCAATTTCTTCAGAGCAGTTTTACAATCATCTCTTGTTTTGAATACACTAAACTGGACTGCTGGGCCTCCTCCACTAAGGATGGAAAATTCTCTTGTGAGAAGTGAGGAAGAGCCACAAGAACGCTACAGGAAGAATGTGACTTGTTCATGGATATGACACTGACCTACAGTGTTGTACTTGAAGCACAAGCAGTGGTGAGGAGTACTGCACTGCACCCTGCAAGGGCAA